TATACGTACGTATATATTAATAACATACGTATTATTTTCAATATTTAGCCATTAAGATTTTTATATTGTTTTATACTCATGACTTTACATCCTTCCCTCTGAGCTGTTTGGTTTAGTTTAAGTGTTTTTAAGAATGATTTGAAATTCCTAAGAAGAAAATAAATGGATAATATGCTTCCAGAACCAAGCACACTATAAAAAGCACACAATGGCAGCCAACATCATCATCATGAAAAAATAAACTTAAGCATAAACAAAGGCCAACTATTTTTTTTTCAGATGAGGTCATAAACAGGTGCATCTGGATTAAACCTCCACTGATTCAACCTAGTAACATTTCAGCAATGTGTTAAATGCATAGTTCACCCAAAAAATGAAAAAATGTATTATCATTTACTCACCCTTGTGTTGTTCCAAACCAGTATGAATTTCTCTCTTCTGTTGAACGCAAAACATAATATTTAATTAAAGAATTAAAGAATGTAGATAAGCAAACAGTTGTCAGTAGCCACTGACTTACATAGCTTGGAAAAAAAAAACTATGGAACTCAATGGCAACCAGAAAGAAAACAATTTGGAACAACTGAGGGTCAGTTAGGGGCCGTTTAAAAGACACTGTTTTCAAGTAAAAACTGAAAACTTTTTATGCAACAATTTACATGACAATGGGGTTTTAGGGGCCTGAAAATGCAAACTTTTGAAAAGGGGTTTCAAATTGTATGTTTTGGAAAACAATAAGATTATCATCTCCACGTAAACTATAAAAATGCAAATTGGTGAATACCCTAAAATCACGCGCATTACATGTTCATGCGCGAGCTTCTTTATAAAGTGACATCGCCAACTACTGGCCTGGCATGCATAATACAGTGTTTTCGTCTTTTGCATGGATCAGTGTGAGCTAGGGATTGTTTCGACACCATTGTCATCTCAAAAAGATTCAAATAAAAACCTTTCAGTTCTGTAGTAGCAAATCATTGTCCAGTAAACATACACTAAATGAGGACAGGATTTTCATTTTTGGCAGAACTGCCCCTTTAAAGGTTTTAGATGTTCTGCAGACTGAACAATGATGTCACAATCAATATATGAACACACACCTTTTAGGGGCTGCCAGTTCGTATCATTATTTTACAACGTCCTAATTCTGGAAAAGGCCATCAGTCTGTCTGAATGCCACTGTAAATGTGGACGTGTGTGTGTGTGTGTGTGTGTGTGTGTGTGTGCAGCAGGTAGGCAGAAAATCAGACAAGGGGGACAAACATTCCAAAGATTCCGGATCTCAAACCTCTGTCAACCTCTGTGTGTGTGTGTGTGTGTGTGTGTGTGTAAGGGAGCTTTTACTCAGGTCACTTGAATAAATGGATTTCAAACACTTTGTTTTAAGAAGCCAAAGCGCAGCGAGCAGCAGGGGCCCCGTTCACTCGGGCACACACACACATACAAAAGTACTGATTGGCATGAAGACACTCTCGTGGTTATTTTTGCCTTGGTGATGACTTCAACTCTTTCTGGTCTGGTACGAACATGCACAAATATGATCTCGCAAACTCACAGATAATCACATCAGTTTTGACTTCTTTTTCTAGTCTTACTATGTCCTATTCCAGAGAAAAACACTTGTCTGTTCTCATAATCTTCCTTTATAATTTGATAAGTTGCTCTGTCTTGGATCATGTCTCACTAGAGCACAAGTTACAGCCCCTTAAAAAAGTACCATGGTATTTAGGACACCAGCATTATGGTAGCAGCACTGTATTCTTCCAAGTACCACATAACATAATGGTAATAATTTAGTACTATTGTACACACCACCATAGTACGCTACTTTTCTATAAGTGCTTTTATATAAGTATAGGCTATAAAATTTCACTGTTTATTAATGAAGTGGCTTAATTACTAATCTAGAACTCAAAGTTCAATGTCAGATCAGCCAAACAGAAAACAACACAACTGATTCATTTACCTCATTCATACAAAAAGTACCATGGCCATACCATGGTATTAAATGAGCATATACAGTAAATCAGTACCATAGAACCACCATGTTTTTGGACATGGCATAATGGTATTTTTGGAAATACACAAATAGCACCAAGTAAATAAATACCATGGTACATGAATTTCAGTACCATGGTATAAAGTACTGTGGTGATTCGATCACTGTATGGTGGTACTACAATAGTACTTTCTTGTAAACGATGTAACTATTCCAAAGTACTTTAAAGAGATGGTACGTGTTCAAAAACATGGTAATACTATGGTATTTTTGTCAATGCATTTTAATATCGTGTTTGAGTTTCTCTTTCTGACTTCCTGCGGAAACACAACAAAACACAAATACACACGAAGAGCTGAAATCTCTTATGAACGTTTGATGTTCAGTAAGAAGTTTCAGGATGTTTCGTGTTTGTTGTTTTCGCGGAACGGAAACGGTTTCAACTGCAGGAACAGACGCGTTTGCTCAATCCACATAGAAGTAACCCCAAAATCTATATGTGTAGGCTATGTTATATAGAAATTAACAAGGATTAAGATTTAATTTCTGTAAATTAGAGGAATGAAGAGATGAAAGCGAGCAGCCATGTTGTCAAACATTAACTCCATCTTCACCTCATTCACCGCTCAGAGTTTCTTTCCTGCAGATGTGAGTACGTTTTTACAGTTTATAGTGTTAGATTATCATTTAAAGCGTCGTGTTGTCGTGTGTAATTCGGGGTTTTGGTTTGTAGTTGTGTGTTTAATGGAGGTTTAGTGAAGTGAAGAGCAGAAGTTCGGTTTTGACTCACCGGAGCGAGTTTCCGCCGCTCGGATCCCGTTAAAAACCCTCCAGCATCAGACTCTCATCTCAGCCTCTGATTTCTCATTATATTCTCATTGTCCGATGATTCAGTGCAGTTGAATCACGATTCATTCACGAGATCTCCGGTGTAACGACAGACCGACTCTGTGTGATCTCGCCATACTGGAGAAACTCAATGAGGCTCAATGAACTCTAACTCTCTCTCTCTCTCTCTCTCTCTCGCTCTCTTGTATACTTTATCGATGTGAGCACGACACACAGTATTGCACTCAGTATTTACTAGTGCTGTCAAACGATTAATCGCGATTAATCGCATCCAAAATAAAAGTTTTTGTTTACAAAATATGTCTGTCTATAATTGTAAACAATGTTTTCTGATAACAATTTATTTCATTTTAATTTTATTTTTTTACTATTAAATTTATATTTAAAATATTATAATACTTATTTATACGTTATAATATATAATATTTATTTTCAAATATATTTAATGTTTATACAAATATATTTGGAGCTACTGAAAATGTTGGCAGGTCAAGTAAAAATCTTTTTAATTTTGTTGAGCCCTTTTTTTGTAGCCCCTCCTTCATAGCTGCTCACAATGGTAAACCAATAATATATTATTATTAATATCTGACAGTATTATTACTAATATCTGACAGTATTAGTCTCTGTAGCGGTAGCATTGCTCTGGTTTAGACTTTGAGAGGCTAATAATGTAAGCAGATGCACTGTAGTTCATGTACCAGAAGTTGCAATCCATCATGCCAAATACTTCCATTACAAACCTGCTCCCTCATTTGCATTGTCCTGTCAAACGCTAATGCACGTTATTTGGAATATCCATGATTTATAGATCATATTTACACAATTTGTCAACTATTCTGAAGCCATACAGTAGTTTTAAAAATACAATTTTTAACTGCAGATAAGTGTGAATGACATATGAGAACCACAGCCGATGGGAAAATTATTTAATATAATGCTATCATATGCCTCAAATATAGCTCAAAATATAGTTTTTTGGCATTGGCAGTGTAAATCACCATGCATTTTTTGCTGCCTAAGGACATGTTGCCTAGCATCTCCCTTTGTGTTTCACAGGAGAAAGAACATAATGCAGGGTTGGAGCAGCATGAGGGTATTTTTGGGTGAACTCTTCCTCTCCGTGTGTAAAGCATGATGTCACAGCTCACCCACCCGTGAGATATGTTTAGATTCAAGGACCAGACTAATGACTGGGATGACAGAGATCTGCATGTTTACCAAACTTATATCTGAACTCAATGAGCCGAAACACTCATTATTATTAGTGCGTGGGTAAACATCAGTACTGAGAGTGATTCAGAAGAAAATCTGTTTCAGTGTGTGTTGTTTAGACCAGCTGAGACACAAGACACAATGAAACAGCCTCAGTATTACACAAATCAAACATCTGGCGATCTAGACGACACCAACCACAAATTTAAAATAATGGCGAGTTACTTAATTATTTCATTTATATTTTTCTTTTAAATAAATTACATATTTTATATGTAAATATATATTATAAATATAAATTAATATTTATAATAATAAAATAATATTTATAATACTATCTGTCAATCTATCTATTTTATGTATTCTTATTATTTATGTATTTAATTTGTTTTTATATTTTTAAAATGTTTTTTTATCATTTCTTAATCGTCTTGATTCACCTGGCCGAGAGCTTGCTTATTTATTTATTTGGGTAATATAAATAAGTAAATAATATTTTTACATTTATAATTTATTTAAAAATAATATTTAATAATATATCAAAAAATTATATAGACATTTGAACCTAAATTCAGTCATTAGTAAAATATCTAGAATAATATAGCTACATTTTGAATGGGAAAAATGAAATAGCGAAAACTCAGAAGCAACACACAGCTAGCCACACCCTTTCCGATTAGCCACACCCACCAGCATTGGCCACACCCCTAATGTACATCAATGACTGAAACCTTACCGGTGAAAATAACTGTGGCTCTTTTGCTCCTCCTCCTCTGAGGTTTCACCATTCATCCGTGAGGAACATTCTTCTGTGATACATGATATCACTTTTGAACACAGGTCATGGATCACAGTCCTCTTGCCTTTATTCTCTCCGCGGCCCAAAACACACAATCTCTCTTTGTTTTTTTCTGCTGTTGTGTCTCGCTGTCTCTTCCTGTCTCTCTCTCTGGTAAATCATTGTCATTGTTACACAGAAAATACATCAACACTTCATCAACACTGGACAAAATAAGAGTTCTGCATAAATAAAAGATTATTTATTTACAGAAACGAGAACCTTTCTCCAGTGAGTTGTGCGTTATTCAAAAGATATTTTCATGTTTGTAGACTGTAGGTTGTGTAACGTCCCCAGATGAGTTTCAGCTGATGAGCAGCGAGTTTATTTCTGTGCGTCCGTGACATCTTAGAAGGCCAGGAACTCTGGGAGTGTTAAACCTGTTCAGAATGTGATCATGCGGACGGAGATAAACACAGTTTCCCAGATGAGTTGAACATTAACCGTCCCGCTGCCCGTAAACTGGTGATCTCCAAGGGTTCGGTGCAATAAAAACTCTGTCTTTTAAGGAATTCTGCAGATGCTCTTGTGCAAAAAAGGGCTTTAGCTTCACAAATGAAGCTGTGGATGCAAACTAGTGCTGTCAAACGATTAATCGCATCCAAAATAAAAGTTTGCAAACGTATATCTAAATGGAGAAGAAGTGCTTCTGTACAAACACAAGAAGGGTTTTTCCTGATTATGGTTTAGCCTACATGATGATAATTATCAGGCAACAGCTGTGAATTAGTTTGTTATGTACTGATTGTGACCCTACATTTCATGTTTAGTGGGCTTTCATTTGATTTCTCAAGACAGACAGGATCGCCGCCATACAGCACTCATCTTGAAGATGCCTATTATGCACAGTTAAAGACTTGAATTTATAATTGTTAGCCAGAAAACTGTGCTAGATTACTAGTCTAACTAGTTTCCTCATGTTTATACAAAGAGTTTGATCTGGTACTTAATGCACTTACATGCCAAATTTTGAATTAAAATGTATTAATTATTTGTTAATAATAATAATAATTGTTGTTGTTGATGTTGTTAAATACATTTATAATTATTTTTTAAATTCTAAATATAAATAAAAATTGAATTTAAAATGCATTCATTATTTTTAAATAATTCTAGATTACTAGTTTCCTCATGTTCAGAGAAAGGAGTGTGAACTGGTATAATGCACTTAAATTTTAAATGCAACATTTTGAATGAAAAATCTAATAATTATTTTTAAATAAATATTTGCTCAAATAGAAAAAGAAAAACTCCACGATAGTGTTTTCATGACTTTCAATAAAAGGAAAAAAATTGAGAGAGATAACGGCAGTCAGAAGAGAGAACGATGTCAAATTTACCGTCCCTCCCATAGACGCTGCATTAGAAACACCCGCGCATTAGCGTAAACTAGTTTATATATATATGATGCAAAGGTGATATAATACAAAGAATAGTGTTATAAATGGACATACATTAAAAAAAATACAAATATGAAAAACTTTCGAGGATTTACGATGCTAATGACCGTTAAACGTGTCATCACAGTCTTGTGAAAAGGGTCCATTGGCTGGTTTGAGGTGGGTTTCTGGCACATTTGGTCTGGTCAGGTTGGAAGAACACTTGATGACCAGCTAAACCTGCTGAGCACCAGCTGGTAGACCAACAAACCATAGGCTTTTTTAAGATTTAATTTTCCACAAGGGAGATAAACAAACGGCGAAATGAATAAATAACAGCTTCATTTCTATATTGTGAAGTGTTCAGTGAAGGTCATGTCATTTTGAATGCTGTTGTGCTGCCATCTAGCGGTCGGAAGCGGAGTCAGCGCTTCATAAACGGGTCAGTCAGGCTAGTTCTTGTGCTGATGCATCGCGGGTTTATTATACGACATATTTTCATCCACAATATATAGATATTTCTCTTATATAGATATAAATCTGTGTCTCAAACCAAAAACAGGCGAGAATCTCTTCATGATCATCAGTCAGTGTGTTCTATCCAGCAGAGGGCGCTGAGGCCGCGGTGATTTTCAGAAAACATAAATTAGCGCCAAATTAATCAAATTAATCTACCTTCAAAAACACACCACCCTGTCAGCCCGTTGCTATATTGATAATATTAAGCGACATCTCAGATTAAAAAGCCAATAAAAAGTCTTAACAAGATTAACTCTAAATATCTTTATTTTAGAATAGCCTACAAAATAATATTTGTGTGTGAGAGAGGAGAGAGGAGTACTGGTGCATGAATGTCCAATGACCAAAAAAGAGGTTGTCATGGAAACAGAGATGGATTTCTGGCCCATTCCCATAGTGAGGACTTCATTCCCTGATCCTCAAGGATTTCCAGTATATCTCCCAGCCTCCATCTGCCTGTTTAACAACGGAATTCAATAGAACTCTGTGAGTTTTATTTGTATCCCAGATAGCCCTGCTGAAAAAAACACTAGACACCATCACAAAATTTGTAATGGTTTTACTGGTTATAATGGGACTTGTATTGGTTTTAATGGAAACTGTAATGGACCCTGTGGGTCTCTACTGGTAATTGGTCACCTTCTATTGGTGGCTTTTTAAAACCAATAAATCCTAATGGAATATATCTACAGAAAACCATTTTAATGGATTTAATGGTTAAAAGTAGATGGTTTGTAATGTTTGTTAGACCTATGGTATTTGTAGTGCAAACCATTAGAATTTTCTGTGATGGTTCTATTGTTTTTTTTTTCAGCAGGGATTCCAGATTGTTTGATCTGGAAAGCATCTGTGTACAAACATCTGACAGACGCCTGTAAGAAGTCAGTTTTACATAGGCTACATTCTAAATCATAAACATCTTAAAGACATCTACTAGACGTCTATTTGACATCTGATAGGAAACGTCCTATAGACTTAGCTATTGCAGATGAGCAAACGCTCTAAAAAATACATCTTCCAGATGTTAAAGGAACACTCCACTATTTTTGAAAATAAGCTAATTTTCCAACTCCCCTAGAGTTAAACAGTTGAGTTTTACCGTTTTCGAATCCATTCAGCCGATCTCCGGGTCTGGCGGTAGCACTTTTAGCTGCAGCTTAGCATAGATCATTGAATCGGATTAGACCGTTAGCATCTCGCTCAAAAATGACCAAAGAGTTTCTATATTTTTCCTATTTAAAACTTGACACTTCTGTAGTTACATCGTGTACTAAGACCGACGGAAAATGAAAAGTTGTGATTTTCTAGGCCGATATGGCTAGGAACTATACTCTCATTCCGGCGTAATAATGGAACTTTGCTGCCGTACCATGGGTGCAGCAGACGCAATGATATTACGCAGCGCCTGAAAATAGGCTTATTGGAAGTTACCTAGCTGGGGACTATTTTCAGGTGCTGCGTAATATCATTGCGCCTGCTGCACCCAAGGTACGGAGTTGGAAAATGTGCCTATTTTCAAAAATAGTGGAGTGTTCATTTAATGCATATGTCAAATAGACGTTTCCGTGATGTATGTGTGCTATCAGGGATTACTTTATTTTATTATGGTACACAGTATCACTCACCTGAGCAGGGCAGGTGAAATCGAGCGTTTCCGGTGTATGTTCAGTCCAGGTGAGTGAAGTCCTTTCTAAAGAGGCCCGTCAATCATGAAATCAACCCGCACAAGTGTTTAGTGAGCAGTTCTTTAGTCGCTGAAGTGACACTGATGAAAGGGAAATGACCCTCATGTAGGTTAAACAGAACACGACACTGGCACACCGACCGCACACGACCTCCAGCCTCCCCCGGTTAACCGTAACGGAAGGCGCCGCGTGGGCCCGTGCGTTAATTATTCAGAGAAGATCCAGATAAACTGCATTAGCAGCTCTACTGTAAACCTCCATCAGACTGAGGGAGAGGGAGATTGTCTTACCTGTGCCCTCAATGACTCCATCTGACAAATAAAACTGAGCCAAAATCACTTCATACCGTTCAAACGTCTGCCGTCGGTAAGATATATTTTGGCAAGAATTTAATACATTATATTCAGAAAAAGTGACAATAAAGACATTTATAATATTTCTATTTTGAACTTTCTATTCATTATCCTGAAAAACGTAGCCTATATCACGGTTTGCTCAAAAATATGAAGCAGCACAACCGTTTTCAACACTGATAATAATCAGAAATGTTTCTTGGGCAGCAAATCAGCATATTAGAATGATTTCTGGAGGATCATGTGACACTGAAGACTGGAGTAATGATGCTGAAAATTCAGTTATGTTATCACAGTGATAAATTACATTTTAAAATATATTCAAATTTCATATTGCAAAAATATTTAGGCTACTGTTTTTAGCCTACTGTATTTTTGATCAAATAAATGCAGTCTTGGTGATCATAAGAGACTTAAAAAACATAAAAATCTTACCAACCCAAAACCTTTGAACGGTAGTTCAATCACCGTGAGACTTTTCATTTACTTGCATTGTTTTTATAAAGTGAGATTTGATAAACAAATAGAACAAATATTAGATAAAAATTTAAAGATCTTTAAAAAAAATATATATATATTTTTTTTTAATGGAACATGGTAAAATCAATACAAAATAGGTGTATAAACAAATTAATAAATATTTAAAATGGAGATTAAGAACAGACAACAGATAGGCATTTCGGAAATCAAATTCATTAACATATCAGATAAAAAATAAAAAGCTGAAAAAAAATGAAATTAAAGTTGAAAAACATGAAGAAAGGTCTACTTTCATGGCAAGAACAGGGTGAAATCAATTTCAAATATGATAATTTCTTTGCATTTTGAAAAATAAAATAAGATAAAAATTTTTTTTTAAATGTGGTCTATTTTCATGGCAAGAACAGGTTAAATCAATTTTTAAAAATAAGTATATAAACAAATTCATAAACATATTAAAAGTGAGATTAAAGACAGGTAAATGAAATTAAATAGTTTACATACCAAAAGATTGCACTTTAAAAAAAATTCTAGAAGTTTTCCCATTGACACTTTACTAAACATGTCCTTTAGAGAACTTTCAGAATAAAATTATCGTCTGATGACATTAAAGGAATCTTTCATTCTGCCATGATTTCCATGTTTATGTGAATTGATCAGTGTTAGTACAGATACCTGTGCTCATAACTGAGTCTGTGGACTGAATCAATGGCCATCACCATCTCAGGTAGAACTGAGCCATGTCCTCCAGGATACAATCACCAAATTTACTCCGCAACATCAGCAGATCTCCACCGATATAGTAAACCATGGGCAGATACTGAAGAGCAGAAGTGGAGAGATGCTCATATATAAAGCATTGTACATCTGACAAACACCAGATCACTGATTCATGAGCACCGGAACACAACAAACTACAGAACTGAATCATTCTGAATGAATATTTTCAACACATTTCACCTGTATTGTGTTCATCTGATTCTCTCATTTGCTCTTTTTACATCTTCATTTTGCATTTACATTTAGTCTATTTCACTCTATATAGACCAAAACAATTAAATACAACAATAATTTCTTAAATATTTATTAGACTGATACATTTAACACACACTTCAATGGTGTGAGGTGACTGGGTGGTTTCAACTGATTTTTTTGAACTGTCACCAACTGAATTGCAGTGGTCAAACTATTAAAAATATAGCTAATTAAGCTACAAACTCGATCATAATGCATCATATTAATGGAGTGTTTTCACTCGTTAGCTCACCTGTGTTGAATGTCCTCGATGTGGAAAGCAGTCTTCGGAATGGAAATATGGATATTTTGTTTGTAAACATCATACTTCTGTCTCTTATTTTAGTTCATCTCATAAAACTAGCAAGCGACAGTGTTGTGTAAACATGGCTGAAGGCAGAGCCGATCCTCCCTATACGCAAAATACACAAGCTGCGTAGGGCCCCTGAAACACCAGGGGGCCCCCTTGCTCTCAAAGATGATTTCATTTTAGTTTATTTTTTTAATTTGGCCAGCGGTTATGAAAACATGAATGATAATTTCTTTTAATGCGGTGCGCTGTCGCCCTTTCTACGTAAAAATCAGTCAAATCATGCAATGTGAATGTCGTACAGTCTTGCTCGAGACTAAAAAAATGTGTTGAAAGCGTACCGAGTCGCGGAAGAGACACTGTTTCTCAAGCACTTTCCGCAAGCGTGATTCGAAACAGAGTGAAACACGGACAAATGCGTTTCATTCATTCGTTCATAACCAATCATACCCCCCCCCCGACACAGTTTTGCGTAGGGCCCCCAGAAGTCCAGGATCGGCACTGGCTGAAGGCCCGAAAAGCGGAGGAACAGACAAACTGATTCAGTTGAGTCAATTACGCTGGAACCACTCCGATTGATTTAAACTTGTGACATCGATCATTCAAGTTCAAGCGATTCGCTAGCAAAAACCAGTTCAAAAGAGCATTCATTTTTGAGTTTCGACATCGCTTGTAATGGTTTTAAAAAGCACGAAGTGATGGGTGAAACTGACCTTTTCGAACTCCTAAACAATTGCATCGCAAAATAATTCACTATTTTGAAGCGCTCCAAACGGATCCATATCATGAATCATTTAATTCAGATCGGGACTTCAAAGCATTCGTATCATTAATAATTTGATTTAGATAGGGACTTCGAAGTGGGCTCGTGAATCATTGTTTAGATCGGGACTTCAGAGCACGCATCGCGAATCATTTATCAGAACTTCGGAGCGCATATCGCGAATCATTTGATTTTAATTGGGACTTCGGAGTGGGTTTGCAAATCATTTGATTTATATCGAAACTTCAGAGCGTGTATCATGAATCATTTGATTCAGATTGGGACTTCGGAGCATGTATCGCAAATCATTTGATTTATATCGAAACTTCAGAGCATGTATCATGAATCATTTGATTCAGATTGGGACTTCGGAGCACGTATCGCAAATCATTTGATTTAGATCGAAACTTCGGAGTGGGTTCGCAAATCATTTGATTTAGATCAGAACTTCGGAGTGGGCTCGTGAATCATTGTTTAGATTGGGACTTCGGAGCGCGCATTGCGAATCATTTATCGGAACTTCGCATATCGCGAATCATTTTATTTAGATCGGGACTTCGGCGTGGGTTCGCGAATCATTTGATTTAGATCAGACCTGCATATCATGAATCATTTGATTCATATCGGGACTTTGAGCATGTATCACTAATCATTTGCTTCAGATCAGAACTAAGCAGGTTCGTAAATCTTTGGATTCAGATCAGATCTTTGGAACTTATTGCAAATCATTTGATTCACATCGGGACTTCGAAGCGCATATCATGAATACTTTTGATTCAGATCGGGACTTTGCCGCGGCTTCGCGAATCCTTTGATTTACCGTAACTTCGGAACGCGTATCATGAATCATTTGATTCAGATCGGAACTAAGTGGGACGTTTTGCTGTGTTGGGGTGGACGCCAATATAGCTGTCATTAAAGTAATCTTTACAGTTATCTTTCTTATCTATCTATCTGCAGTTTTACATGTGAAAAGAGAAACTTTCACAAACACAATCATCTTTTGCCAGAGAACTGCTCCTTTAATTCCATCCAGTGAGAGCATCTCATGATCCAATAACACACAGGTCTGACACACGTGAACACGCTGATCTCCTGTACATAATGAAACTCCACATATGTTCATAATTACAGGAGAGGGGCTTCCGGCTGGAGAACATGGCTGCTGCTTTGAGGAAATCAAGTAAGCAAGGCATATGTGTGTGTATGAATGTTTTTGTCTATTCCGTCTCATTGCTTTAAGTTAGTGCAGTGGTTTAAAGGTCTAAGCAAAACCCAGCTCATATAGTACATGCTCTGATCTCTCTATACAGACTATTCTAGAGCACAAGTTCTTCTAGAGCCAGGGTTCCCACACCTTTTAACCTGTAGGTTAAAGAAATGAATACTTTTATTCAGCAAGGTTGCATTACATTGTTCAAACGTGAGCAATTCTATATCAAATAAATGCTGTTCTTTTGAACGTTCTATTCATTAAAGAACCCTGAAAAAAAGCATCATGGTTTCCACAAAAAAAAAATTAAGCATCACAACTGTTTTTAACATTAATAATAATAATAATAACAACAATAATAATAATGATAATAACAATAATAAATGGTTCTTTAAAACAGTTAATTTAAAGTGTAGTAATATTTCATAATACTACCACTTTTACTGTATTTTTGATCAAATAAATGCAGCCTTGCATTTCAAAAACTTACAAACAAACTTATTGACCCTAAACTTTGTTTATATATATATATATATATATATAAAAAAATACATGCTGTTGTCAGCTGTTGTCATTGTTTTATAATACTTTTTTTTTGACAATTCTGTTTTAATGTTTTTATATTTATTTATATTGTGTATATTTATAGTTTAAAACTGCATAAATTACATCTCCACAACTAACATTCTATTAATTTCCATGACTTTTCCAGGCCTGGAAAACCAATCGCATTCCCTGACATTTCCAGGTTTTCCATGAGCCCGTGGGAACCCTGTCGATCCTTTCTCCAGCCAATCAGCCGCCCGCCTCCCGTCCAGAACCCTGATCAGAATCACAAAGACACACACGTACAGTAAGACATGCAGATAGAAAGAGAGCCGTCTCTCTCAGCTCTCGTCTTGAAAGCTCAGGGTGAGCGATCACAAAGCCCCGTCCGTTTTGGCTTCCATCATTCGAGGTGTGTGTGGCTCTAGTCCTGGATCAGACCCGTGCAGGTCAGTACAAACACACTGAGGTTGACCGACGGTTTTGGAAGCAGCAAAATGAATGAAAATAACTAGCTTAACAAGCCTCAGGTGTCAGGTGAGGCGATGTTATCCAGTGCTGTTGATGGCAGTTATCAAAGTGTCTTCACTGTCCTGAGGAGCAGAGAGCAAGAGAGAGAGAAAGGGCAAATCATTTTACTAATATTGATCGTTTCATTGGTCCTGATGAGTTGGTGGGTCTAGTCCCGCTTTCACGGTTTGTCCTGCTTCATCAGATCGTGGGCAGGTTTTCATCTGGTTGAAGGTTTGATCGCTCCAGTCTTGGTTAATAATGACAGACGGTTCGTCTCCCCCTGTCTTCCTTGGTCTATGTAGGATTGATTGACTATTGTTTATCCCTTACGGGGGCGGGACTATGGTAATTCCAAGTCTCATTCCTGGGCTGTTGCCATGGTGATGTTCTGTGGGTGTGGCAAGCTGTGGGACCCTGAGGATGCCAGAGAGAGGGCGGAGCTTGAGGAGGAAATGACGTGTTGAGACTGACACCTGCAAACACATATAATCAGGGCTTGACATTCACTTTTTTGCTCACCAGCCAAGGTGGCTAGTGGTTTTCCAAATTTACTAGCCACTCAGCATTTTCACTGGCCACAATTTTGTTGTTGGGAAATTATGTTTTATATGACTTAATACTGCATACAAAAATGTATTTCAATTGATTTGCAGGTAATTTGTGGCCTATTTAAAGGGCATTTTCCCTAACCGTATTAAATGCATGCATCATCTTTCATATCAAATTCTTACATTTTATTAATAATTTCACTTAATATAATAAGATAATAGAGGGCTGTTACCAATCAAATTAAATCAGTATCAACGAAACCGATCTTTCCAATGCAGAAGAAACAGACAGACCTGAAGTGGGATTTAGATGCATTTACACAGACAGTTCAGTGTAGCTGAAATATAGCACGAATGCATTTAGATGCAAAATTATAACAGCATAAATATTGTGAGCTTGGTGTTTTAAAATAGTGGTTTTTTTTTTAGATTGGCTATACAAATATAAAATGTTGGAAAAAATGCAAAGATAAGTTACTATGAACGTAAACTGCCCGTAGGTGGCAGCAAGTGACTGTCAAACGATTCGTTCAGACGGCTGATTCATTCAAGAATGAAGCAAGTGCCTGTCCGAATGGACCACTGAATCATTGACTCAAATTATTCAAAATTCAAAAATGCGAATCATTCAGTAACGAAACACCGCTGTGTGTTGCTCAGAGATGCGCGACTGTTCTGCTGTGATCTTCGTTTGGAACTATTTTCATTAACCAAATCGAGCAAAAACAGTCAACGCTGACAATATATCCTTTAAATGTCAAATTTGCACTTGTGGTTTTCAGGGAAACCTTCACTCTCTTGGTCGTGTCATGTTGCTTAAGGCTGTATGCTATAAATATAAAAACTAAGTTACATTTTTATGTTTCTTCTGTGTGCAGTTGTGTTCATTTGTTTTAATTTCTCCACGAGATTCTCTCACAGATAGATTGCGTGAGCCTCAACTGGCTCGTTGTTACTGTTGATTATCCATTATCAATTGCCGTTTACACCTAATGTAATGAAATCAGAATTATTCTCGCCTGATTTTATTACATTAGTTGTCCGGTCGGGCAAGTAAAATTCTCTTCTTTCACGTGTCCTTTCAAAAAATCCACTTGTTCCAGACAAGCATTAATGTCGAGCTCTGTTACTGTATATAAAATTCAACCCGCCAAAGTGGCTAGTGGGAGTGACCATGCAACCCGTTCTCATCAATCTGCGTATAAATAACACGACTTTACACTTTCTAATTGCGTGCACTCTCTTGGTCGTGTCATGTTGCTTAAGGCTGTATGCTATAAATATAAAAACTAAGTTACATTTTTATGTTTCTTCTGTGTGCAGTTGTGTTCATTTGTTTTAATTTCTCCACGAGATTCTCTCACAGATAGATTGCGTGAGCCTCAACTGGCTCGTTGTTACTGTTGATTATCCATTATCAATTGCCGTTTACACCTAATGTAATGAAATCAGAATTATTCTCGCCTGATTTTATTACATTAGTTGTCCGGTCGGGCAAGTAAAATTCTCTTCTTTCACGTGTCCTTTCAAAAAATCCACTTGTTCCAGACAAGCATTAATGTCGAGCTCTGTTACTGTATATAAAATTCAACCCGCCAAAGTGGCTAGTGGGAGTGACTGTGTTACCCGCCACTGCTGAAATCTTGGCGGGTGTTAATGTCACGCCCTCCATATAATGTCATTATCTTGGGACCGACAGCAGTTTGAGTAGATGTAGTATGCAAAGAATACCTAGATGACATACTATAATTGGCTGAATGTGCTACTATTGTTTTAAAATAGTTTGGAGTAATTTAAAGTGAATTATGCAACACTGTGGTCTTATTAAGTGCATGGTTAATGCAGCTAGTAGCAGCATCAAAGCATTTTTGTTTTATTTTTTAATACAATTTTTAGTCAAAATGTCTTTATTTTGGCAGTCCAATCAAATTAGGAGTCAAGAAATAGATTTAAATTGCAATTCCACTGGAAATGGGAGATTAATTCAGGCAGTATAGTAATAGTAGCTGATTTTAATCACGTCCTGCAGAGTTTGTCTTATTACCGTCAAATCGGAGGTACAGAGTCCCATGTTTCAACAGAGCATTCATTTGTGCATCAGGCTATCCTCGAGTTGAATAAGACACTTAATCAAAAATCAAGAGTATAAGAGGTGAAGGTGCTGTAAAGTGTAGGGTGTAGTTATAGTATATGTAATGTAGGATGTCTTAGCCTTAAACGTATAGTATATGTAATGTAGGATGTAATGTAATACTTATGTAAGTGTAATGTATAATCTGTGATGTTTTTGTATTGTGTAGATTAAATGTATTTGTTGGTGTTGCATGTTGTAAACATGGATACTGTCACGTGAGGAAAAATTTCAGACTTGTCTGACTAAAGTATTATCATCATTATCATTATCATCATCACACTGCATTGTATAGTAGTAAATGGTATGAGAAATACACACATACATATTTCATTCCAAAAATAGACCATATTTGTGAAATCTGCACTGAGGTTCAACTATGTACACGAGCACTATGTTATAGAGATTATGAGTTAATATTGGATTACCGTATGGACCATATCACACTATAATCCCAATTTAATCTAATCATAAACACAAATCATTTAAGAAAAAACCCAAATTACTTTATGAAGTTATATTTAATTATATTAAATATTATAAATATTTTTTTAAACAATTCAATCTTTTATTTATTAACATATAATTATAATGTATATAAAGTTTTTTTTATATTTTCCAATTTTATTATTATTATTATTATTAAACTATATTTAAACGTATTTAATTATTTCAAGAATTATAATTTTTTTATATATTCAAATATAATTTTTATATACAGTAGATACTG